TAAACTTGAAGCAGCTGAGCCGTACTCCTCTAAAATGAAGAGCTCTGTAAATAGAATACCCTTTTAAAAAGATAAAAAATTGTTAAATATTAAGTAACATCTGTTTTGTACTTTTACACTTCGACAAACTACCGCAGAGTAACGGCGTGACAAAGGAAAACGGAGCTTCACTCATTACAGACGAGGTTTTCGGTTTTTGTTCGCAGTGTAAAAATATCTCACTCAAACTTCGTCATCTCTCTAGAGAGTTCGCGGTTTACAGGAGAGATGAAGACAAGGAACCACTGTGCTAAAGCGCGATACTGGAAAAGAATAGCATAAATTCGAAATGTTTCGGTTTATGATGAAACCGTAGTTGTTGTATTGTTGAAGTTGGCAACTGCAGTTGTCATTCGTATTAAATCACTACGATAAAATTAGAATTAATTTTTGCAGTGGTGGTTCCCTTTGGGACTCCATAAGAAGCGATATTTTGGCAATTTCTCTCACAGGACATATGATGCGGTATCAATCAGCTACGACTATCTTCTTTTTCAGTGCTATATGGTGAAATTTGATGAATTTAAAAATCAAAGAACGAAAATTTCCAACAGCCTGCTGAACACAGGAAAATCTGAAATATGAAAATACACATGTACTACCTTAAACCATAATACTGAATCTGACGCCAGTAAGTTTATTTTAAACATGAATCTTATCGCTGTTATATATAAAACAGTCTAGAACCATCAGTCATACGGATCTACCTGACCCGCATGGAAATAACGAGGTAAGAATCTAGAATCGCATTGTTACTCTGAAAAGGGAGCGAATTTTGTCCGAACAGTCTGTATCTGTACGGGACTGTCGATAATTATAAATATTATCTGTTATCCTGCCGTTTGTGACCTTCCAAAACATGCAGTCCACTCTCGCATCCAGAACTATAGTTATCATAATCAAAAATATTCAAATATCAGTCAAAAAATAAACGTTAATTATTCACAACAGCCACTAACTCAGAGATAATAATTTAATAACCATTAATGGTCACAAAGCATTGTTATCGTTTGTCATTATCATTATCTTTAACATGCCCACAAACCTGCAGGCTGCACAAGAATTGTGATGGCCGCTCTTGTGCACTTAACGCATTTGCACAT